TACTTTAGTGCAAGGAGCTCTGGTGGCACAGTGCCTAAGGCATCTGACTGCTGGCCAGAAGGTTGGCAGTTCAGACTCACCAGTCACTCCATGTAAGGAAGACTGGGCAATCTACTTCCTTAAAGATATACCACCGCAGAACCCAAAGGGGGTCACTGTGAGTAGGAATTGACTTGGTGGCAGTGAAGTTGCTTTTGGTTTTATTTAGTGCAAGAAAAGGCTCAAAGCCTTTTCAACAATTTAAAAGCTGCCCTTCCATCAAGTGAAGATGATTGTGATGAAGAATTTATTGGGAGTTCACTGGTTCAATCATTTTCAAAGTGAGGGCAAATTTATGTAACATTAAAGAGCAAATGGAAGTTGTATATTAATCCAAACCCAGGGACTGTCTGTTAATGACTGTTACTAACTAACAATTTACTGAGTACCTTTTGGACTCAAAAGGAGTTCTGGTGGCACACTGCCTAACGCATCTGACTGCTAACCAGAAGGCTGGTGATTCAAACCCACGAGCCACTCCTCGGAAGGAAGATTGGGTGATCTACTTCCGTAGTGATACCGCCTCAGAAACCCAAGAAGGGGTCACTATGAGTCGGGTCTGACTCAAAGGCACCTAACAACAACAACATACATTGTCCCAAGGAGTTCTGGTGGCACAGTGCCTAAGGCATTTAACTCCTAACCAGAAGGTTGGCAGTTCAATCCCACAAGCCACTCCATGTAAGGAAGACTGGGCAATCTACTTTCATAAAGATTTACCACTTAGAAGCCCAGTGGGGGTCGTTGTGTGTTGCAATCGACTCGATGGCAGTAGGTTTGATTTTTCTTCTTGTGTGTGTGTGGGGGGGGCTATCCATAGCCCTAAACTTCTACAACTTCCCTTGATCATAGTCTAGAGCCAGCCTCTCCCAAGGACAATATATCTGTCTCCCAAAATCAGTAAAGAAAATAATCTGTTTTGATCACAGAATTGCTTTGTGAAGGGCTCCTTTAACATTCTGAAATACCTTTTTTAACAAACCAGTGAGAACAGAACGGGCTGTGACTGACCTACTTGGGCCACAACCCTCACCACCACCAAGCAGAGCTGCAGGTAAAAATCAGAAATGACTGGAGCGTAAAGGTGCCTAAACTATCAGCATACGAAAGAGATCAGTAGCCTCCCAAACTGAGAATGTCACCAGCACCTACTTAATATCGGGTCACCACAGAGCCTGCCCTAGCATACAACAAATCTTAGAGCTAGGGCCTTAGGTCATTTGCTTTACAGAGGATTTTTACCAGGGTAGGTGAGCTGTCTGTAGATTAAAACAAAAATTAACTATCAATTCCTTGACTGACCATAACCAAGACTACTAATATTATTGATACCTTTGACTAGATGAACACTTGAAATATTTATTGTAATGAGGCTTGGGTAAAGCATCAAATCCTTCGTTGTTGCTGTTAATCTTTCAGTGGCTAATTTTATAAACAAACTATCAAAAAGCAAATAAGATCTTCTTTAAGATAAATTATAAGTAAGAAACGATACAACAACCATCAACAAAGCAAGTTTATTTAAGAAGGTGGAATCTCTTGTCATTATCTATTTACCATGAAATTTTCCTTTTTGACTGTCACTGGACAAATTTCGCACCCCATAAAATGAAAAGGCAGTTTGAGAAAGAACAAAAACATGGCTGGTGGATTCAAATTAGCCAGTTTTCAAAACATTTGATTCATAAATTTATAGTTTTTAATATCTTATATAAATTTGCCAAAGGTTTTCTGATCACTGTTCAGCTAACAAAATTTGTTTTCCTTTAAATTATTTCTATTTAACCTAAGAAGCAGCAGAGTTTCAGCCCAAGTAACTAAAGTTATTTGCATGAGAATAGATGTTGTATAGTTTTAGAAGTGATTTTTATACACAATAACACACATATTCCTCACAATAACCCCGTACAAAAGGGCTTTATTAGTCTTATGTATTAGGATAATGAGATTCAAAGAGTTGAAGAAGAAAATCACACTAAGCTAGGACTCCATCACAAAGACATCGATTCTGAATACTGGCTCTGAAAATCCACCTTAATCCACAAAGGCCTCCTGGACTGGAAGAGGAGAAAGCGTAGCTGAGAGGTCCTGTGGTGGCATCCAAAGAGTGGCGCTACCAGGAAAAAGACCAGGGTTTGAACTCACAAGAGGCTCAACCAGTGCCACCTGCCACCAGGGGGCGTACCAGTTCCAGTTTCGTGAATATCCTGTGGGAAAGTCTTAAAAGTCAGGGAATCCGGTACCAAGCTACCTCCCCTACAGCAAATCCTCACCAGGTTTCCAGGATATGAAATTGTCTACATAGAATAGTTACAAAACTCTAGTTATGTGTTTAAAATTCAACTTTTTTGGCACTCAGGATGCCAATGACCCATTGCTGTGGAGTCAATTTCGACTCATAGCAACTCTATAGCACAGAGTAGGAACTACCGCCCCCCATAGGGCTTCCAAGGCTGTACAGCTTTACAGAAGCAGACTGCCACATCCTTCTCCCGGGAGCAGTTGGTGGGTTGGAACTGCTGAACCTTCAGTTAGCAGTCAAGCACTTAACCACTGTCCCACCAGTGTTCCTTACACATACCTAGTAAGAAAGAAAGCAGAAGAGGGGGATGCTAGTAGCCCCATGGTTCTCCAATGTGAGTGCCCACCAGCACTTTATTATTTTTCAATTCCAAATAACAACCAAACCCAACCCCACTGCTGTTCAGTCCACTCCAACTCCTAACAATTATGTAGGACAGAGTAGAACTGCCCCACATAAGGTTTCTTTATGGAAAGCAGGTGGTGTCACAGTTGTCTCCCATGGAAAGGCTAGTGAATTCAAACTGCATCCTTCCAGTTAGCAGCCAAGAGTCTAACCCCTGTGACACCACACACCACACTGGGCTTCCTTTGGGTATGAACATATGACTGAAAGAAAACTCAAAATCTATTCATAAAACTGTGTTACCTTCAAACAAAACAAAACTGCCAAGTATTGCCATTGTTTTGGGGAAAATAGTTAATGTGCCCTACCATCTCACCTCAAAATCTCCAACCATATTTTGAAAATAATCAGCTTTTAAATATTTATACCAGTTTAATGACAGAAAAAGAAAACATTAACAGATTTATCAAGCCTTTTCATGAGACACAAAGCGCCATTCCTATGCTGCCTTTGGAGGCCAAAAATTAGCAAGCTGAGTACAGCTCCTCCATGTGAAATAATATGACGGCATCAGACAGACCTCAAAGAACCTAAGCAAGTCTGGCATTCTAGGTAGGCTGCTCATCACCAGAATGGAGGCGGGAGTGATCACAGAGGCAATTCAATTCAAAATATTAGAAGAAAGCAAATCTAGAAAGTCTCATCTTCAGATCAATTACTGAAGTCAGCAGAGGTAGTCTACCACAGTGAAATCCCAAAAGGACCAAATCTACTGCCACCAAGTTGATTCTGAGTCACAGCAACTCCCACTGCATTTTCAAGATTGTAGATCTTTACTGAAGTAGACTGACTCATCTGCCTCCTGCGAAGCAGCTGGTGGGTTTGAACTGCTGACCTTCTGGTTAGCAGCCCAATGCCTTCTTTTAATCTAAAGATGTTCCCAAGACTCATTATCTATAAAGTTATCACATAGTATTGTCTCTTCATACCATCCTTGAGTGTGGAGTACACCAGAGACATAACTCAGCTATGAAAGTCAATTAACTCCACTTAAAATTCCTTCAAACAGCTCAACTCTGCATTACGTAGTTAAGGAGAGAGAACCCTGCTGGTGTAGAGTGAGCTACCAATCAGACTTAAAACTGCGTAAGTGGTCACGTTAGTTTTTGTTTCTCCTCAAGAAGAAAGTGTAAGTGGACCTCACACAAGTCCTTCACACAACAAGGGAAAACCAGGAATATGCCTGCAACTCCCATAGCCTCAGGTCTGAGCACTGTGAAGCAGAAAAGAGGCCTTACTGTGGGGTGGAAAAAGCTTTCTTCAGGTAGGAAATTTGCTACCAACTTAACAAAACCCAAGTTTGTGCCATTTAAGAGTTTATTATAAAACCCTTCAAAATGTGCTAATTTGCCACTGAACACTAAGCATAACAGGAAACTTAGCCTGATTAGTTATATAAAAACCTAGCCAATAAACCCCTAAAATAGAAAGATTGCTTCTTATAACATAAGCAGTAAAAAGTTTCCAAAGGCATAACTTTATGTTTATTGTTTAGCCAGAGCCCATGTAATATGCATCTTTATTTGTAGACATTTTTCTTGAAAAATGGTGTTTTATAGATAATCTATTCATCATTTGCAAATACTTAACATGTCACTACAGAAAAAAGAAAAATTAATACTTAAAATTACTTTCAATATTTCACGTTTAGCCAGCTGCATAGACCCACTCAAACTGTTGATGGCAGTACCCAAGCAAACAGAATTTTTTATGCCTAATCAGACAAAAGCTATTATATAAGCAAATTCTAACACTGAGGCACGTGGCATGACTGAAACGGCTGCCCCAGATCTAAATTAAACTCGATTTTGAATCAAACTGCAGCTTGGCCTAAAATCTCTGCTTCTGTTGCTCTGAAGAGACAATTTAGTTTCTTATAAAAGTTTAACTGTTTGCAACCCAAACGAAGCAAGGGTCAAGATTTTAGCCTGTGCTCACGAGGAATAATTTGTTAAAAGATGCTTGTGAGAGTGCTTGATCCTTGAAGAATGGTCAACAACACCCTTGTAACTTTTTGCCATATACCCCTTGTGTCCAGAGCCCTTTATTTACCCCCCTCAAAACAAACCCCACTCTCTTCTTGCAATTTAGACCACTACAGTACCCTGTCCAGGTGTTAGTGTGTCTCCCAATTCATAAGTCTCTCTACCTTTCAATAAAACTCTTTGCTTTCATTTCTAACAGATTATAAGGCTGGTGCTTCTCTAGGATACTACATACTTCAAAGAACTAAAAAAAATGTGCTAAGACTTACTTGCTACTCCTGATGCAAGTCCATAGAGCAGCCCTCCACCATCAGACTGCTGAGGGAAAACATGGGCTCCTGGAGGAGGTGGTTTTTCTTGTCTGATAAAGTTATACAATAAAGTTTTCACAAGTTTGCTGGTGTAAGAAAGACTATACAAAAGAAAAAGAAAATTAAAACTCCCATTTACTGCAGTCACTTCATTCTGTATAATGACACAGAAAATTTTGCCATTAATAAAAACAGACTAATGCAATTCAAATAAATCTAGCATTGTCACACAGGAATGAAGGCCATGGGTTCTGTGCTCAGATCTGAGGTAATTCTTGCTTTGCCTCTTAGCATGCCATAAAACACTGATCAAATCACTTAAAACTCTCTGAGCTTCAGTAACTTCACCTGTAATCTATATAAAAGCTCAAGATATTGTAAGTTTAGTGTATAATATACTGCCTGGCAGCTAGAAAATGGTAGTAATTTTAAAATAATAAGACTGTACTTTTTAAGTATGAAATTTATGCATGCACAGAAAAATCCATACATATGTAGAGATTTTTTTTAAATGTTAATACTTTTCACTTTCAAGTAGGAATGGGAGGAGAAGGGAGAAAAATAGGTAAAAAGGGTTGTGTGTCCAGAAATTGGTGATAAACCAATTCCCAAAATCCAGAAGAAAACTCTAACAGACTCTTGGACGTACTATGGAGCTTTTCAAATTACGGCTTCCGAGATGAACCTCAAGTCAGTAAAGAGCATATTATGGCTTAAATATTTGGCACATTTTATAAAAATCTAACAATTTAGAAAATAAATATACACCATTCTCTATTTATGACAAAGAGAATCTCAACTCTTCAGGCCCTATAAAGAAAGAAATGCTGAGAGCCTCTGAACAAGGCTCATATCCCTTCCCACAATGCCAAGCACTGCCTCCAGCCAAAGTGAGTCACAGTGTCATTATCAGAGATGTGTCTTCAGATAGGGGGTTATCTGAACACAACAGGAATGATAACAGAAGTCTCAAACTTTCTGTCTCCAAATCCTAGGCCCTTTCTCTCGAATCAGTGATTCTTAGATATGTTACAAAGAGCCCTATGTCACAGTTGTGATCAAGGTAGAAAGAAGTTACCACCCCATAACCAAGGCAGCAAGAAGGAGGTAGAGAAAACAAAGCTCTCAACTTCTTGCATGCTTTAATCCAAGCTACTTTATTTGGTACTTGTTTTACAATTTAAAGTCCCATGAAGATTAAGTCAACAGGAAAGATGCACAGATGATGCACATCTATGTGCATTTCTTTAGTGCTTATCTATTTCCATACCCACCAGCTAGGGGACTGAAAGCTTTTGCTCAGCATCTTGTAGCCCCAGATCCTAACACAATGCCTGGCACAGGGTAAGCACACAATAAGTATCTGTGGGCTAAACAAAGGTAGGCAAAGTCAGTTAACAGGCTGTTAGGCTGTTGGAGTAGTCTAACTGGTAGCATAGTGGCTAAGGCACTTGACTGCTAACCAGAAGGCTGATCGTTCAAACCCACCAGCCACTCCTCAGAAGGAAGATGGGGCAATCTACTTCCGTAGTGACACTGCCTCGGAAACCCAAGGAGGGGTAACTGAGTCGGGTTGGACTCCACGGCACATAACAAAAACAACAACAACCACATGGTGATAGTTACAGTAGGACTGGTGAGAAGGGGAAGATATAAAAATAATTTTGAATGAACAAAATGAGGAGGGAAAAAGAAGAAAAGTGACTTCAAATTTTCAGTTCTATAAAAGCAACCACTAAAGAAGGTAATAAGCTGGGGAGTGAGCAGGGCAACGTGTGAACAGGGAAAACAGAACCTCCCCCTTATTCTGGGCTTGAAGCAATGACAGGAGGGCCAGAGCAAACACGTGGCTGGAGACATGGGACAACCCTCACGTGAAAGGACAAGACTAGAAACACAGACTTACACAATTATCTAGGTAAATGTTAAAAAGAAACATACCATTGACCCCGCATCAAATACTTGTGACTGATGCTCTGTCGTAAAACTTCTTTGTGGAAGAGTTGGCAGGAAAGGAAAACAACCATTGTTGATATAGCTTCTACTGATATTTCATATGTAATATCTCTGGAGAAATGAGGGGAAGAAACAAGATAATGATTACTTTGAATGATTAAGATACTGCTCTCTTTAAAACACATTTAAAAACACAAATCCAAATATTCAACATTTTTCTCCAAAAAAAAAAAACAAACAAACCTAATTTACTGCCATTGAGTCAATTCCGACTCAAAGCGACCCCCATTGGGTTTCCAAGGCAGTAAATCTTTATGAAGGAGATTGCCCAATATTCCTTCCCCAGAGTGGCTGGTGGGTTTGAACCACCAGCCTTCTGGTTAGCAGTTAAGTGCCTTAGGCACTACGCCACCAGAGCTCCTACACCACCTTCTAGGTTATGAAAAAATACTAATATGTTTAACATAAAAATCAAGTCAAGAGAAAACATTACCCTTTCCCAGACATTAGCTCTTGGATGTCAATCTGGTATCCCATTATTTCCTTATTTCCCACAGGGCTTTGAACCAATCATTCTGTTGGACCCCTGCTGAGACTCTGCCTTTCTACCTCAGACAGACTGCATCAGAGTATGAACAAGAAACAAATCACTACTGTTATATTCAGTGTTATCTATTATGAAGAACTATTACCCTCTCAAAGGAGCTCTGATGGTGCAAGTGCCCAAGGCATTTGACTATTAACCAGAAGGTTGGCAGTTCAAACCCACCAGCTGCTCCATGGAAGATGGAGCAATCACTTCCATAAAGATTTACCGCCTCAGAAACCCAATGGAGGTCACTATGAGTCAGAATGAACTCTATGGCAGTAAGTTTGGTTTGGTTTTTTATTACTCTCAAGAGAATTAAGGTCTTTTAGAAAAACAGTCATAGATGAAATACAAAAAGAAAATAAAGTTGCCAGTGAGCAAAGAGGTCAAGAATAAATGCATCAAGAAATCTTTAGTTACTGCAAAAGTTTAGACAGGATTAGCATGGAGAACACTAATATGTAAAGACCAGGAAATGGAAATCTCAACAACACAGCAAAAAGAGTAACTCCAAAAGATATCAAAATATCCTGACAGAACTAAAACATTCATGGAAAGTCCAAAGGAAAATACTTAACATCTATTTAGGTGAAGGCTCATTAAGCAAATTAAAAATGACTTGATTCTAGAATTGGGCAAGCTTAAATTCAAACCAGATATTTTAAGGATTTACTGGTCCTAGAAGTATAGGAAAATTACATGAAACAGCAGAGGCCCATGCAAGTGACCTTAATGTATAATGAATAAATCTCAGTTCTACTCAGAAATCGGACTTTTAAAGAAACTGCGTAACAATTCATTTTTTCCCCTAAAATTTCCAAAACTACTACTGTATACATTAAGCACACGAAACTCAATTCTTGTATTGGTTTCTCTTTTTAATTGAACCTAAATGACTTCCTAACTTTCACCGAAGAAACTGTAGGGAAAATTTCATGACAAGAAATACAGAGCTAAAGATCACAAATGAATTCACAGACGGATGATAGAGTATACACTAAAGATCATGAATGAATTCACAGACGGATGATAGAGTATACACTAAACGTCCTGAATGAACTCACAGATGGATGATAGAGTATACACTAAAGATCATGAATGAATTCACAGACGGATGATAGAGTATACACTAAACGTCCTGAATGAATTCACAGATGGATGATAGAGTATACACTAAAGATCACGAATGAATTCACAGACGGATGATAAAGTATACACTAAAGATCATGAATGAATTCACAGATGGATGATAAAGTATACACTAAAATACAGTCTGAGCTTTTCTTTTCTCACTGTTGTTATTTGCCGTCGAGTCGGCCCCGACTCATAGCGACCCCTCCTTGGATTTCCGAGGCAGTATCACTACGGGAAGTAGGATTGCCCAACCTTCCTTCCAAGGAGTGGCTGGTGGGTTTGAACCACCAGGCTTCTGGTTAGCAGTCAAGTGCCTTAGGCACTATGCTACCAGAGCTCCTCTTTTCTCACTAGGGAACAAGAAAACAGTAACTGTTTGGTCCAAGATGCTGTAATATACAAAATCTTCTTGAAAATCATCCAGGATGTGGACAGGAAGGATGGTTGTAGATGGGATAGAGGTGAAACAAGAGTGGTCATGAGTTGATAATTACTGGAGTTAAATGATGAGCATGTGGGGGTTCTTTACTATCTCTACATTTACATGTCTGAAATGATCAATAATTTTAAAAAGTTTAAAATATGAAGTAAAAAATTGATCAAGAAATGACTCAGGACCTTGAGTTTCATGAAGAAGTCCCCTCCCCCAAAACTCATTTCAAGCTCCTACCACAGTTCCTGGCAAATAGCAGGTATTTGTACAGTTCCTTAACAAATTATTCTCACTCAAAACTCACTGCCATCTAGTCAATTCCAACTCATAGTGGCCTTCCTTGGGTTACCAAGGCTGTAAATCTTTACTGAAGCAGTCTCATTTTTCTTCCATGGAGGAGCTACTGGGCTAGAACCACCGGCCTTTTGGTTAGCAGCCAAATGCCTTAAGCACTACACCACCACAGCACCTCAACAAATTATTAGTTGAAATGAATTAATGATCTAAAATTTTATATTTAATAGATTTGATTTGTTAAGATGTTTGCTTTGAGAAGTTAGACATGTTCCATCAGGATTGTATTTAGCTTTCTACTGCTGCCATTAACAATTCACCACACACATTAAAATAACACAAATATATTTTCCTTAGTTCTGTAATCAGGAGTCTGGTGCAGGTCTCAACAAGCTAAATCAAGACATTGGCAAGCTATATCCCCTTCTGTAGGCTCTAGAAAGAATCTATTCCCTAAATCATTAGGGCTGTTGGCAGTTCCTTGGTTGTGGGACTATAGGGCAACAAGATTCTCTTTACCTATGACTTTCTGTCCCTGGGTTTGTAGTTCTGCCAAGATGATTTGCTATACGGCCTTGGAAACCCAAGGAGAGGACGCTGGGAGTCGCAACTGAGTCAACAGCAGTGAGTCTGGCTTTTTTATTTTTTAAAACCTGCAAAGGGATGGGATAGTTTATGCAAATAAGGTACATAAAACCCTTGTGGGCACTGATTACTATGCAAACTAGGTGATTCTGGCCCATCTAGGGGACTGATCAGTTTTGCCATCCTGCTAGGCTTAACACAGCCAATCTCAAAGAGGTTGAAGGAGAGACTTCACTACCATCAAGAAGAGCTAGGAGCAGAGTATGACCTTGGGACCCAGGGTTCCTATGGTGAGAACCTCTTAGACCTGGAAGACAGAGAGAGCTGTAACCTGGAGACAGCATGAAATGGTGCGAGATGATACAAGCAGCAATAAACCAGGAGACTGATACAAGATAACTGACCTCAGTGGGCTTCCCAGCCTACACCTACAGAGCAAGGCAAGCTGCAGTAGACTCACCAACCCACGGAGCAAGAGGGCTAAGCCTGTTGGCAGAGTAGGGTGCCTTCAGACACTTACCAGCAGAGTAAAGAGTTGTAGCATTTGCTCAGACAGGGTAGAGGCCAAGCCCAAGCAGAGCCTGGTAGGCATAACCAAGAAGCAGCTGAGTGTCATCCTGGTTGGAAGCTGAGTGAAGAACTTTATTCGGATTTGGGTTCTGTTATCACCAAGTTGATCCTGAATTGTAACTTTTTATTTCCCTACAAACTCCGTAACTGTGATGGTCTGTGAATTCTGTATGGACACTGCAACGAATTATTGAACCCAACAGAGAAACAGAGAGTGCCACAGGAAGGACAACTGGTATCAGAATTGGTTTTATTTAAAAAAAAAAAAAAAAAGTTTCAGAGTGTATATGTATCTGACTTCTACCTCATGGGAATCAGTCTGGTGTTGATGGTGACTTTCATTGCCCCCTTGAAATTAGATGAGTTCTGACACTACTATATTACGAGAACCCAGATGCCCATTTTATTGTGGCTGTAAGTGGAGGGCACATTCAACTTCCAGAGGTCCCCATTTTTGGCCTGGGACCGACCTCCTTCTTCCGTCTTCAAGCCAGCAAGGGTAGGTAGGGTGCTTCTCACGCCACACTTTGCTTACCCACTCTTCTGCTTTCCTCTTCTACCTTGAAACAACTTACTGCCATTGAGTCGATTCTGACTCACAGCAACCCCCTTTGGGTTTCTGAGGTGGTAAATCTTTATGGAAGTAGATTGCCCAGTCTTCCTTTCAAGGAGTAGTTGATGGGTTTGAACTACCAACCTTCTGGTTCGCAGTCAAATGCCTTAGGCACTACGCCACCAGAGCTTGTATATGTAAATTGGGCCCACTGGGATAATAGAGAGCAGTATCTCCATCTCAGGGTCCTTAATCTTAAGTACATACACAAAATACCTTTATCATATAAAGCAACATATTCACAGGTTCTCAGAATTAGGGTGTGGATTTTTTTGCTGCGGGGGGCATTATTCTGCCTACCATAGGAACCCAATAAGAATTAAACTTAAGTGCTAATTTCAATAAGAGCCAAGTATCTGTCTAACATGTACCATGCAAATAACACTCATGACTACTTTACTAATCTACCAGAGTTGTACTAGAGGTAGAGGGGTGTGTGTGTGTGTGTGTGTGTGTAGAAGGCTAAGACTATAATAGTGAAATAAATGGATTAAAATAGGCTCCAACAAAATGGCTGAGTAAAAATAATTTAAGTACACAATGAAGCACAGCTTCAAATGACATACCAAAGGTATTAGAAATTACTAAAACAATACTTTTTTTTCTTTCCCCAAAGATGTCAAGAGCCTAACTGCCAATTTTCACTGTCTAAAGAAACTACCTACAGCCACAAAACAACTTTGGTGCACAAAGTGTGACATGTCCATACAGCAACAACCACCCAGTAGCTATCGATCCACTTAGAATAAAAGACAAAGTCCTTAACTTAGCCTGCAAGACACCATATGACTTCTGATTAACAATCCTGCTTCATCTCCTGCCACACAACCTCTGTCCTTGCTCAGTTTGCTCCAGCTACAATGACCTATTTAGTGGTCTTTGGATACACTAGC